CAAGGCATTCACACGGGACGTCGAAACACGTCTCCCCTGGTTTTTCCATAACAGCTCCTAAAAAAAACAAAAATCAAAAAATGGCATGGCCCATGACTTTGGACAGGGTCATTGAAGCCATCGTCCTCCATGCCGTGAGGGAACAGGCCGGGTAGGTGGGACTCGTTCAGCCCCATAAGGAAGCCCATCTAAGAGAAGGAAAACTCTCGAGTTCAAACCCCCACTAGGATGAGCTTCCACAGTTAACCTTTTTTTCTGGCATTAGCTGTGCAAAAGAGATTTCCCCCCAAACCAGAAAGCCCCGCGTGGTGCAGGGGGTTAGAAGGTTGGATTATAATTCAGAAAACTCTCTAGGGGACCTGAGGAAAATAAACCAAACACACAGTTACGAGATGGGGAATACCTGGCTCAGCAATACTACAAGCAAGAAGGAGGTTGGAGTTGTCATAGATCACAAACTGAACATGAGCCAACAGTGTGATGTGGTCACAAAAAAGGCAAATACTATTGTAGGCTGCATTAACGGAGGTATAGTCTCCGAATCATGTGAGGTTCTAGTTGCCCTCTGTTGAGCACTGGTTAAGCCTCATCTGGAGTATTGTGCCCAGTTCTGGACACCACATTTCAAGAAGGATGCCAACAAACTGAAGATCAAGTTCAGGGGAGGGCAACAAGGATGTTCAAGGGACTGGAAAACAAGCCCTATGAGGAAAGACTGAAAGAATTCGACATGTTTAGCCTTGAGAAAAGGAGGCTGAGGAGAGGTATGATAGCACTTTCCAAGTACTTGAAAGGCTGTCATATACAGGAGGGGCAGAATCCGTTCTCGATCATCCCAGAGTGCAGGATACGCAACAACGGGCTCAAGTGACAGGAAGTCAGATTTCGGTTGAATATCAAGAAAAACTTCCTAATTGTTAGAGCAGTACAAAAATGGAACCAATTCCTTCGGGAGGTGGTGAGCACTCCAAACACGGAGGCCACTGAGAGAAAATGGGGACCACCCTCTGTCAGATCTGCTTTGACTTGGATTTCTGCCTTGAGCAGGGGCTTGAACTTGGTGGCCTTATAGACCCCTTCCAACTCCATGACTCTATGATTCAGGCCATCACCATCTCTTGGCCTGGCCTCCCTCAGAGGGCTGTTGTGGGCAGGGAGGAGAGTCTTCTCTGCCACCTTCAGCTCAGGAAGGATGGGATACGAATCCAGGGAGCAAAATAAATAATAAATATATAAATTCCCTTCCCCATAAGCACAGCCGCCTCCATGAGAGATGAGAGGGCCAGCCCTGTTTTTAAGCAGAAGAACACACTAGTATCCAGCGGTCGATGCCAAGAAACAAGATTTTGGAGAAAAGATCTGGTTCTATATAGCCCTGTTGCTTTATGATGGGTGAGGTAGGGCACTCGCTCATTGCCAGTTTTTGGTCAATATTTGCTTGAACATGGAAAGAGAAAGAACGTTATTTTTTCCCTGCAGCTCAGGTGGCAAAATATCTTAAGTTTGTCCTCAAAAGCTGGTGCAAGCTTCTGTGTTAAACAGAAACCTTTGTTCAAATGTGCAATCTTTTTTTCTACGTGGATCCACACAGCACTGCGCTCTCCATTTGTTTTAAACTTGGACATCTGAAGGACCGCCTCCTTCCATATGAACCTACCTGGCAGTTAAGATCTAACCAGGGGGCCCTTTTGAAAGAGCCGTCCCTTAAGGAGGTAAGAGGGATGGCTTGTAGACAAAGGGCCTTTTCGGCAGCCGCCCCCAGACTATGGAACGCCCTCCCAACTGAGATTTGCCTGGCACCGACGCTGATGACATTTCAGTGCCAGGTCAAAACCTTCTTGTTCCAGAAGGCTTTTGA